TCTCTCTCTCTCTCTCTCTCTCTCTCTCTCTCTCTCTCTCTCTCTCTATCTATCTATCTCTCTATCTCTCTATCTATCTATCTATCTATCTATCTCGCTCTCTCCACCTTTTCAACCCACCTAACACCATGAAGACTTCCACGGAGTCCACGATTCGACAGGACAACCGTTATGCAGCACACACAGTAGAATTCTCAAGCTGTTTTTTTTTTCGCGGACCTCCCCTTACGTGGCACTGCTTTCCTCTTCTTCGCCCCTGCTCTGTTGCCATCCCTTTCCACCTGTCTGGCCTCCATCCGTTGCTGTCTCTCCTCAGCTCTCGCCTTCTCATCCAACATACCTTGATATTTCTCAACCCAACGATGCTTTGACAACCTATCCACCAGTCTCATGTCCCTGACCTGGATCGTCACCCTCTTCGAATGGATGACCACCTCGTTGGTGCTCTTGAAATTGACGACCAGGTACGCCTCGACAACCTCCATCAAAGCACGCACCACCGTCATCTAAAACCTCACGCCCATATCCGAAGCAATGTCCTTCTCCACAACCTCGCGCACGAGCCGCAAGAACGGCCTGAAAGCCAAGCAAAGGTCGGTGGATCGTTGCAACTTTCTGATTTCCGACAAAGTTGCCATCCCGGAGCGTCGACGACGTCTGGGGACCTGAGTTCGTGCACCTGCCGTGTCTCCGGTCGCTGGCACCGCCTTGGGGTTCACCTTCTTTCTGCCTGCGGGCGTCTGCCCACGTGGCAGTCCCGACGTGCACTTCTTCATCTTCCCCGGGCTCTGCGACATCGCGACATCGCTCGGGCCGGCCATGTCACCCTGTGCTGCAGAGCACCCCCCGACGCGACCAGGACCACATGGGCCCTCCACCTCAGCAGACAAACGAGAAATTTCTGAGTGCTTCTCTCTCCTCTTGCCTGGCTGCACTGAACCTGCCAAGTCATTCTCCGACAGATACCGAATGTCTCGCAGGAGTCAGATGGAAAGGCATACCAATCGGGTCTCTGAATCTCATGGTGACGTCTCCACCATGCTCATATGTCATGGGACGTACGACCGGGACCCAACCAAGAACGGTCGTGCAACTATGCCTGCGGCGAATTTGAGTCATGTATATGTTCCGACTGTCGCAGTGCTCTTGGCCCGTGCAACTCTCCTCAACCATGGACCACATCCCCTGGTCAGCCATCGAGTCATAATTCGCGCACACCATCTGACGCTCCTCCTCCCTTATCTTCTCCCAGCAGCGCTTTGCGTGTTCAACCACCAGCACGTGGTCCTTTACATTCACATTGAAAATTGAGACACGTGCCAGAACTACGAGGAACTGCCAATGCTCCACAATACCTGCATGCATCCATCCCAATGGGAGCCAATGCCCTGATTGCAGTCTTGCTGTCATCGTCACCTTGCCATCAACCACTGCAGGATGCAAACATCCTGGGACCCAATTCACACGATAGCCATACTTTTCAGGGGCCATATGCTGCTGCAACTGTCCTTCAGGGATGACATGGGCCCCAATGTCCATGGCAGACAGAACGTCACTCCTCATTGTGACATGGTCCCATATCTGCGAGCATAGTCCATCATGCGTGGTTTCCTGCCCTCTTGCATGCGTGTATGTGCTGTCATCCTCACCAATGAACACTTTCCCTTCAACCACCTCCAACTCCACAGTGTTCCGAAGTGGCAGGAAAAAGCAGGCAGCAGTATGCGTAGGACATGCCATTGCCTTTTTCTCGTCTTCTGAGACCTCCCTGTCGAGGTGCCTGAATGAGAAGTTGTCATTCACATAATGCGTGGCCCAGACATTTCCCATGGCATCACGCATCATCATCCTCACACAGCCACATGGAATCGGGATCACACATGGCACCCAACCCCACCTAGGATCCCTCCTCGCATCGCTCTTGTGGCACACCGTACTCCCTGTTGCGTTGTTCCCGCCAATCACCCATGCCTGTCCGCAATAAAAACTATCGTACAAAAAATCGTTCAGCCTGAACTCGCCCTGCGCCTCCAGAACATGCCACATGTCCAATGCATATCGCCCTTTCACTTGTGGTGTTACCCCATCGTTCAACCTTAATACTCTGTCAAACACGATTAACAGAGTCACGTTTCGCCATGTATTCATTTTGGGGGCAGGAAATGAACCCCATGTCCCTTCGGCTTTGAACGCAAAGCAGGGTGCTCCTCCAACAATACCCGGTTGAACACGACCCGACACCCAATTGATGTCATATGGGTACTCTTCTCTTGCTGATATCTTCACCACATTTTCATCTTTCACAATACACCCTGTCAGAGATTTCCTGCTTTCCAGACCTTCCTCCTCTCTCTCTTCCCCAACCTTTTCCGTCTCACAAGTGCTCCCTCCTGCATCATTCTCTGTTTCATCACCATCACCCATCATCTCTGCAGTGTGTGCACATATTGTCGCAAGCACCTCTGCACAGTCTGCGGTGTTGCCTCCAGCCGAATTCCCTTCCTTGCTGCCATCTCCAAAACCTTTCAGAATGTCCAGCGTCTCCATGGCGCATGTCTCTCCACCGTTGACAGTCGATGCAATCGCGGGTTCCATCTATTGCATGAGACACCACATACATTTATGAGAACACGTACCTGCGACATGGCCCCCTCACCCGAGAGAGAGAGAGAGAGAGAGAGAGAGAGAGAGAGAGAGAGAGAGAGAGAGAGCAGCGACAGAGGTAGGTTCACTAGTACGGGCCAGAAGGACAACAAACAACATCGATGGACACTGATATGGCACGCAGTAGTGAACCACTTGTGTGTCGTGAGGCAAAAAGCAGCAAACATTATGGACATAAATTTACTCTAAGCAGAAAGTAATAATACAGGCAGCACTTAAACACACATCATTGTGTGTGTCTGTGTGTGTGCGTGAGGGAGAGAGAGAGAGAGAGAGAGAGAGAGAGAGAGAGAGAGAGAGAGAGAGAGAAAGAGAGAGAGAGGTTCACTATTGTGGACCAGAACTCCAACAAACATCTCATGCGAGACAGACATTGGCCTGCAGTACCAGTGAGAGGTTCACTACTGCGGGTCAGAACTCCAACAAACATTTCATGCGAGACAGACATTGGCCCGCAGTAGTGAACCTCATGTTGTTGGACAGAGAAAGACGCAGCGACAGAGAGCGGTTCACTACTGCGGGCCAGAACTCCAACAAACAACAGCGGTGGACACTGATATGGCACGCAGTAGTGAACCACAAGTATGTCAATACGGGAAAAGGCAGCGAACATTATAGACAGAAAATTGTGGACGAAGAAGTTGTAATACAGGCAGCAATAAACATATATAATAGTGTGTGTGTGTGTGTGTGTGTGTGTGTGTGTGTG